GAGGATATAGGGTCAATGGGGACAGCGGAGATGTGGGGTCAGTGGGGTCAATGGGGCCAGTGGAGATGTGGGGTCAATGGGGTCAGTGGAGATGCGGGGTCAGTGGGGTCAGCAGGGATTTGGGGTCACTCCTTGCCCCACATCTCCAGCGCTGTGGGTCACCCCATCACCCATGAAGATGATGGGAATGTGAGGTCAGGGGGGTCAATGGGGACAGAGGAGATGTGGGGACAGCGGGGTCAACGGGGTCAGTGGGATCAATGGGGACAGCGGGGTCAACAGGGACAGTAGAGATGTGGGGTCAGCAGGGATTTGGGGTCCCACAGCCGCCCCCCACTCACGTTATCGGTGAAGATGACCCCAAACTTCCAGATCTGATAGCGGATATCGATGGAGGTGATCCTATGGGGGGGCACAGGGTGAGCTGTGGGGTCCCCAGGCCGCTTTGGGGTCCCCAGGCTGCTATGGGATCCCCAGGGCTGCTGTGGGGTCCCCAGGCCGCTATGGGATCAACAGGCTGCTATGGGGTCCCCAGGCCGCTATGGGGTCCCCAGGCCGCTATGGGATCCCCAGGCCGCTATGGGGTCCCCAGGCCGCTATGGGGTCCCCAGGTGGCTATGGGGCACCCAGGGCCGCTATGGGGCACCCAGGGCCGCTATGGGGTCCACAGGCCGCTATGGGGTCCCCAGGTCGCTATGGGGCACCCAGGGCCGCTATGGGGTCCCCAGGCCGCTTTGGGGTCCACAGGCCGCTATGGGATCCCCAGGGCCACTATGGGGTCCCCAGGTCACTTTGGGATCCCCAGGGCTGCTATGGGGTCCCCAGGGCCGCTATGGGGCCGCCCCCCACGCAGACCCACCAGGTGAGCACGGAGTTGTCGGGGGGGGGTTTCCTCTCCCCCCGCGCCCCGATTTCCAGGCTGGAGAGCTCCATCCCCAGCAGCTCGGCGATGCGCTCGCGCCCATAAATGTCCCCGTATTTCTCCAACACCTTCAGGGGGGAAACGTGTGGGGGG